GAATTATGGGTTAATTTAAGTGTGAGAGCTAGTCAGTAATAAGCCTGAACTAATGGCCAAGCAGTTATAATTAATATAAGCTTCTGGGTGATTATTTTATAAGCACGCCATGGGACTGTGGGGGCCTGGCGGGACTAGAGAGAAACCTTCCGGCTACAATATAGAGCTCTGAGAACAGCCTTTGAGATCACCTAACCCAGCCTGGATCTCTGTTGTCAAGGCTGTGGCAGTTGCATAATTAACCATAATAGCTTCAAGGAATATACACAAAACAAAACCCTATTGGTCTTCGGCTGGAACTAAGAAAACAAAATAAGTAACTCTGTTCTCCCATGGTGTAAATTATAGCCATGCATATAATGAAATTTCTTATTTGCATTCCCCATAAAATTGACAAAACTCCTTGTTCACTCCTTACTGGACCACTGTGGGTTTTTTAAATGGTACTTTTAAAGTTTGCTTTGGCTCAGGGTAAAGCATTTGCAGGGACTTTATTCCTGGAGTCTTGGATCCCCTGGGTCATCTTCACCTTTTGCTAATTCATAGCTCACTGTGTGGTTTGTGTGCATATGTGGGGAATGTCTGGAGATATCCTAACTGGTGAGATGTTTTAGAAGTAAGGATCCATGGGACAGGCAATTAAACAATCAAAAAAGTAAAAACAGAAAATGAGTGGAGAATAGGTTATTGAGGCAGCAGTAAAAATTTTAGGTTACCTTCTTGCAGTTGCTATGCATGTGACTGGATAATATTTGCATTTAATGGATGGAAAAAGATATGTACCAACAACCCTGGAAGTGTTTGAATGTTAACAGATGCAGAAACAAAAGTACATGAAAAGGCAAAACCAATGCAAAGTTGCCACTGAGTATGAAATACAGTCTTGGTAAACTATAATAGTCCACCAAATGTAACACTGCAGAGACATGAGCCCAGAAAACACTTTTTTTTTGGTTTTTCGAGACAGGGTTTCTCTGTGTAGCTTTGCGCCTTTCCTGGAACTCACTTGGTAGCCCAGGCTGGCCTTGAACTCACAGAGATCCGCCTGGCCCTGCCTCCTGAGTGCTGGGATAAAGGCGTGTGCCACCACCGCCCAGCCAGAAAACACTTTTGTGTGTACATCTTTGATTAAAAATAGGAGACCTTCAAGATGAACATTAGTATTTTGTAAACAATAACAAAACTGGGAGAGTGATATTGTACACATTTGTCAGAGTCTAAAGGGCAATGAAAACTCCTCCCATTCTAAATCTCCTTCCACTCCTGTATCAGATCTTGGTTTGAAACAATTTCCAATATCTTCCTTAAAAACCTCAAGAGCAAAAGTGACGACCATTATCTCAAAATTGCACTGGTCTTAGAAAAGCAGAAAAGGCATTTCCTGAATCATGATGATTTCAAGCTAGAAGAGATGAGAGTTAATGCTTAGTTCCTGCCTCATCCCAGTACTCACATTTGATTGGTTCCCTGTTCAGTAAGCATCTGGCCTAATGGTGCACAGTAAATTAATGGCGGGAAGTGAAGGGGAGAGATTTTGAGATCTGATCTCTGAATAGATCATACTACTGAACACTGTCTGAAGTCCAAAGGACTTCATTGCGGGATAAGCGTCACCACTGGGGGGGGGGGGCACACGATGACAGAGAAGCAACCTTCTTTCTGCATTTGTGCTTAGACATGGAAACATGCTCTTTCACCTAACACTAGCTTAAATGTCAAAGAAAAATTAAAGCCATTAATATACTACGATGCAGTCAATTGCATTTCTAATGACACAGTTAACAGGATAAACCATGTGCCCAGGGAATCCCCCCTCTCTTCTTAACCACAGGGTTTACGAGTTTAATGACATACCAAAATTGGACATTTTAATACAGCATTTAGAGAGTGCTCTAGCTTTAGGAGGGAGAGTTGCCAGCTTACTATGGAGGCACGTGGGTCTCAAGGTTGTATTAGTCTAATGCATATTCATGAAAACCATACTAAGGAGAAAAATAAGTAAATATTCTGTTACCTAAAATTAACCTCAAGTGCCTTAAAGTAGTCCCAATTCTTTCATTTCATTTGGAAGCAAGGTATAAACATTTACTTCTGGGTCTTTCCCTTTGAAAATACTATTATTGATTAATCTATTCCAGTAACTTCTTGAGTTTCAGTTGGCCTTCAGACACATTTAAAAATCAAGTGATCTCAATTTCTTGTGATGAGATTCCCAAACCACAATTCTTCCCCCAATAGTTACATGATATCGAGCTTTCATTTGGCTATGGGTTTTGTTTTTTAAGAGTGCCTTTGAACAATTCTTGTGAGTGATGTCCTATTGCCGCATGGCATTTAGTGTTACAGAGATTTAATTCCTTTCTGGGAAAACTGTAATCAAAAATATAATATCATATATCATTAAATAAGTGTCAACAAAGCAATCATATTACTTCTAATTTCATTATAACAAGTCAACTTAAGTTAACTTGCTTATTTCACACTAATGAATACGTCTGTTAAGAGGCTAAAAGCTAAACTCCTTATCATAAAGAAGAAAAAAAAATTTAAGGCCTTCATAAGAAAATCCTGGATAATCAATTTAATTGCTTGAAAGGACATGCTAAAATGTCTTTCATGGTAGAGTTTTCTCAGCACGCTGCTTCCAAAAATCCTTCCCAAACCATCCTGAAAGTTCAGAGATGTTTTAGGCTGACACTTTGCTGGTGATCCATCTTTTCAGAGCATGGCTGCAATGAAGAGACCCCGGAAAACTGCTAAATGATCAGGGAAGGCTCTTGGGAACTTGTGCCCCTGGGAAGGTGCTGCTGGTTTACAGAGTGTGAAGCAAGCAATTCCCCAAATGTACCCAGGAAACACTGCTGCCAGTGCCCATGCTGGGAATCGGAGAAAAAGCCACTCTGAAGGATGACTGGACACCACCACAGCAGAACCACAGAGAGTTTGGTCTCACTTCTGTGAGTGTGGGGGCAGGGTGTGCTTTAATTCAGAATACAGTTCAAGACTTCTACAGATCGGTTAATACAAAAAGCAATTAGTTACCCTCTGTGTTGTTGTTTGTCTGCTTTTGGACCATTTTTAGGCTTCAGAGATAATTCATTAAGAAGCACACTGAAAATCTGAGTAGAAAATTCCTAAGCAAAGGCTGCATGTTCAGAACTTCCTGACTGGTGCCTGGCAGCCTGGTCAGATTGTGGAGATGGAGTGACTCAGTAGTGAACCAGTAGTCACCACAGATCAAGAAGAGGAACTTCACTCTTCTAGTCTCAAAAAGACTTTATTCCATGAAAGTTAACTGAGGTTCCATTACCTAGGGTGAGAATGCAGATTTGGAAAACACTGAAAATGATGGTGTCTTTGTGTTGGAACCCTCCAGAATCCTCTGCACTCACTATGAAATGCAGTTATGTGTCAATCATGCTACCTTGTGGTGTTGCAGGTCTGTCTCTGCTTCACTTTGTCTGCATCTTGAGTTCTCAGATTTTACACATTTAAAATTCCTTTCTTTTTCTGACAGCATCTCAATAGAAACCCAGGTTGCCCTCAAAACTCACAATCCTCTTGCCTCGGTCTCCTGTACTAGGATTATATGTATGAACCTCATTGCCTTGCTTGAATACACTCAATTTTAATTCTTTTTTTCCTGAAGAGGTAATGCTGGGAGATGTGCAGATAAATATTCTTCTTGTTGCTTTAAGGCGTGGTCTCATGTTTTACCTCAGGCTTTCCTGGAACTCATTTTATATCCTAGGCTGGCCTTGAATTCATGGCCATTTCCTTCTCTAGACTCCCATGTGCTGGAATTATAGGTGTGGTCATTCATACCTGGCCCCAAGATAAAAAAGAGTTTTGACTTCCTTTAGAAAAAAAAAAGGGGGGGGGGTGTCTTTTAAAAATGTTCCTTGAGTAAATATTTAGAGATTTAATAATATTTAGTCAAATTCTCTAAATTTTCAACTTAAAAAGAGTAGTGTAAGGCAAAACATATTAGTATACATTGTCTTCATATATAAATACTCTCAAATGTGGCAATTTTTGCAAATTAGATAACAGATATACTAATTGTGGAGTTTTAGATCTCAATGTTTACTGTAGTATAGAAGCTACAACTAAACAATCTCTCTCACTTTGCAGAACCTTCTACCTCTTTCTCGATCATCTTGAAGAACAGTCTCATACCTGTTCTCAGGAGTTAGAGACAAGACCTGTTTGAAGTTTTAATCCTTGACACCCTTTATGGAACCATGGCAGCCTGAATGCCACAGTCAAGCAGAGATACTTTCTTTCTGATAAAGTGTTAAAGTTCTCTCTCTCTCTCT